CCATCGTCCACTTCTTACCTGAGACAACATCGACACAACGTTCGCAGCATCGGACTCTATCTCAAAATCGGAGAATCCAGCTTCAACTGCCCAGCGAACCGCCTGAACTACCACCATAACCTCCGCTTCTAAGCTCGAGGAAGCTTCGACGGGGAAGGAGACAGCTACAATCAGTTCGCTGCTTGGATTCCTAAGAATCGCACCGCCTCCAGATTTATGAGGTAAATACGAAGCATCCACATTTAGCTTGAAATGGGTTTTGGGTTTGTGCCATTTGATTGCTTTGATTTGATTACCAGTAGGTTTAAAGTCTCTATGAAGTAAATTTTCCTCAAATAAAACTGCTTCTACAGAACGAACTTTAATTGTGGAGAAGCTTGATGTCCAAACCTGAATGAAACATTTTATTTGGCCTATGATATTGCTCGTAGAAGGCCTGAAATCTTGTTTCCCCCAAATGATCTTTGTGTAATTGGTCCACACAAACCAACTTATAATGCCAGGCATATTGTGCTTAAAAATATCCATCATTGTTTTAGAACCAGCCTTAAGCCACCAAGAAATATATACTTGTCTAACAGAAGAATCAGGCTTAAGTCGAGGAACACCCATAATTCCCATGAAATAAACCCAAACAGGATACACCACCTCATAGCTAAATAAAAGATGATCAAGAGAATCATCATGCTTTCTACACAATGGACAAGTGGAAGGATTTAAAACTTGTTGAAATCTGAGGAGCCTATCAGTTATTGGAAGAATCCCATGGAGAACCTTCCATTGGAATAGCTTGACCTTCAAAGGTTGTTTAGGATGCCAAACATGTTGGAAAGAAAACATACTTGGACTGACATCAATAATTGCATTATAGGCAGATTTCAAAGAAAAAATACCATCAACTTCTGGCTGCCATAAAATATCACCCTCATGATCAAAATCACAGTTGGAAAGAGCAAATGAGTGAATAGAGCATATTCTTCTCCAAATGGGGGAGTCTGTGATTTTAGGAGTCATATTCTGCCCTCTAGGTATCTAGCAGTGATGAATTCATTCCATAAATTTGTCTCAGTTCTCCATTTCCACCATAACTTGATAGAGAAAGTCTTTTCCAAATGAGATAAAGACCTTAGTCCTAGACCCACCTCCTCAGTAGGTTTATAGAGCTTAGACCATGCTAACCAATGGTAATTTCTTCTGTCATTGGAAGAACCCCAAAATAAATTGCTCATTTTCTTTTCAAGAATAGAAATGACCTTTATTGGAATTGTGTCAGCAGCAAGAATATGTAAAGGAATAGCACTTAAGATATGTTTAATCAAAATAAGTCTACCACCCTGAGATAAGTTTCTGCACTTCCAGGGAGTCAATTTAGCATCAAACTGTATAATAATGTTGTCACAATGTTGGTATCTATTAATTCCTTTGTGTAATTTGACTCCCAGGTACCTCATAGGCAAGGTGGTGGATTGCATGCCCAGGATATCCTGCATACCTTTAAGCCTGAGTCTGCCAGATTTACCAACAATGAAAGAGCTCTTATGCAAATTAACAGCTTGGCCTGAGGCTGTCTGGTAAGCATTAATAAATTCAAAGAAATTCCTTAAGGACCTTGATTCTCCGTTTAGAAATATCAAAATGTCATCTGCATAGCCAAGATGAGACACAGGAAATCAAACTTTCCCCATCCAGTAGGGTTTGATGAGCCCACTTTCCATTTGTTTATTTAATCCCCTAGACAGAGCCTCTGCAGCCAAAATAAAAAGATAGGGGGACAAAGGGTCCACTTTCCTTCTTATTTGAACTTAATACACCAATCAACTCAGGATCATTAGGATAACATATCATCATGCACAAGGAAATAAAATATTTGCTTACACACATAAGCATGCAATGGCCCAAAGTAGTATAACAAGGAAATAAATTCTTTTCCTATTTTAGCAAAAGTGCAACAGATCATATTAAGTAGTCAACATCCCATTCACAAATGACTATTTAAGAATTCAATCATGGATGGCAATTTAATTGGGATGGTAAGAAATATTTATTTCAAAAAGCAAATCATTGATCTCATAAATGCTAAGTAATATAGCAAAAATGTTTATTTAATACTCTAAGCAAAACAACCCCTTTATTTGCAAATTCAAATGCTACGTTCCATCAATAAAGATAGCAAGAATATTTTTCATAAATCATTAAACTATATTAATGAGTGGAGTTTTATCAAGCATGGAAAGAAAATAAGTAGCTCAATTGAAAAGTACGTATATAATGGTCATGCTACCATTTATAAATCATGCACTCACATTATAGCAAATAAAGATACTTTCCATAAAGTATTAAACTATATTTAATTAGTGAATGCCAAGTCATGCATGGAAAAGAACAAATAATTCAAGTTACGTATATAGTGAGTGACCATGCATAGAAAAATACTTTTGCTTAAAATAATATTCTTGACAAAGTATGATCACTCATATAAAGAAAGCACATTAATTGAGAATCAAGTAGGTGCAATCAATATTAATTCAAACCATATTATGAGACTAGAAATGGTTCTGCCTTGGTTCCACCTGCATGGTTAGTTAACAACACGATAATAATGTCCATTTGGACCTAAGGATGATCACTCATATAAAGAAAGCCAAAGTCAGTGAACGGAACACGGACCTACCATCTTCAATGCGAGAATCAACCTCCCCCTCTAAAACATCTCCCCTCCACAACTCCAAACTACCATCTTCAATGCGAGAATCTTTCTCGGTTCATTCATGTATATACCCACACCATCTTCGTTTTGGGGTCGTTCTATGGGGATTCTGAACGGAATCTGACCAACCGGCGTGACCAACCGACTGGGGTCCTTCGTTGTGTGTTTCCGATGTACATCGATCGGCGTTAGCGTCCGTTGGTACACTCTCGGACATTTTTCCGAATTCATGTGTAAAATTCATGTGTAAAATATCATCTACATACTCCTCATCCCTATTTTTTGTCTATCTTTGGTCGTAATTTATCTATTAACTACCCGATTTGAAATATTCAAACTGTTTACTTATTTAATCCGGTGGTCAATGAGTAATTTTTGAGTATTTTTTTTGTAATATACGTAAAATTCTCGATGTAATGACTTATCTGTCTGTATCTATCATTTTCTCGTACAGATCTGTCTCGGCAGATGAAATTATATTTCATATCTGTCTGTATACATCATTTTGCTGTAACGATCTAAATTAGTATGACATTTTTTCATTTACCTTTATACATATTTTATTTATAATTACATGACTAACAAATAAAATACCTGCGTAAATATATATATCACAAACAGATCTGTTTTTTACGTGATATACTTACAGTCATAAATCCTTAAATATTGAAGGACCCATACATGATGGTTGGACAATAAAGACACATGAAAGTGACACATGAAAGCTAATATCCCAAACCATGGGATAAGCAACACCATGATGTCACACATTCATCATACTAATGTAATTAGTGACTGCTAAATACTAATGTGAGAGGTATTTATGCAGTGCTAATCCGTATTTCATACTTGTACAACAAACTGTTTTTAGTACCTATTGGGTACTTGTTTCGATGTTTATTTGTTCTTAATTTTTAAAACCTAAGATTAAACCTTGGTTGATCCATTTAACGCTTGGTTTTTACAAAATATCTCTCACATATAATCTAACATCTAAATAACTATTTCATTCCTAACTATTAGTGTAACACTTTTTATCAATATTTTTCAAACTATATGGATTTCAAACAAAATCAGTTTTCGGACTATACTCTCATACCTCTTAAATACTCGGTTTGAATATTGTTTTTAAGGATGCTTTGCGGTTTAATCAAGTGTTTACTTTCATTTAATAGTTATTTAACATATAATGTAATACTGATTTAATACAATATTTATTTTTACAACCCTATACTTAAAAGCTATTTTTCATAAATCAAGACTAAGTTTTTACACCTAATCTTTCATACCTATATTCTATCGTGTATATACCTTTGTGTGTCATTATTGGTATAACAGGTTAGACAATCATTTTTTAAACAATATGAGTTTGAACAAAATCTGTTTTTCAAACTATGCTCTGCTACATCTTAAATACCTTGTTCGAATACTGGTTCCAAGGTAGGATTCTGTTTTTATCCAAAGTCTTTACTTTCATTTACTTTCATGTAATATGTCATGTAACATTTTAGATGAATATTTTTCAACCCATATGGGTTTAAAACAAAATCAGGTTTTCAAACTATGCTTAAATACCTCTTAAATGTGTTTTTCAACATCTTTAAAACTAAAACTTTAAAACTGTTTTTCAAACTATGCTCCAGTACATCTTAAATATCCGTTTTAATTACTGGATCCAAGGTTGATTTCTGTTTTAACCACTATCTTTACTTCATTTATTACTTATTTTATATTTTATATGTAACATAATACTGATTTCAAACCACATTCATTTTTAAAACCAAACTGTCAAACTTATTGTATATATGAAATTCTATTATTTAGGTAAATTAAACAAATAATCTATAAAAGTATTATGAAATCCTATCTTTTTGTAAACAATACTAAAATTAAACTAAATATGATTTTCAAACTATGATACATACATCTTAAAAACTCGGTTTTAGTACTGGTTTTACTGTAGCATTATCTTTTCACTAAAATGTGTACTTTCTTTTAATACTTATTTAATTATTTAATTTAATATCTATTGTAATAGTGATTTAAAACCACATTTCTTTTTAAAACTACACTGCCATACTAATTCCTATATGAACACTTGGTCTTTAAACATACTTATCATCCATATAGATATACATGTATATATCTATAGGAATAGTTATTGTTTTTTGAAGCTAATCTTTGCAGTCATGCTGTGTATACCAAAATGTGTACTTTCTTTTAATATCTATTTAATTATTTACTTTAATATCTATTGTAATAGTGATTTGAAACAACATTTCTTTTTAAACCGCGGTGAGAGGTGGTCTTGTACAACTGGTAATTGTCCACCACCATGAAATTTTTCATGGCATCAACATTGTCTTCCATAACTTGAGGCCTAAACAAAGCGACCTGAGGGCGTTTCACCACAGCGTGAATCCGAGTACCCTACAAATTTGTTCTGAGTTAGTTTTTCAAAAACAATCTGTGAAAATGGGTGTATTAAGAAAATACAGTTGAAGAGAATATACCTCCTCATCATGCAGCACCATTTCTAGAGTGTTGCCTCCCCTTGCATGAGCTGCAACTTTGTATACCCGAACCCCCCGAACTCTTAAGGCCCAACTGGTTTTGGTGTGGTCAATCTCACTTATGAGAGACCACATTTCTGATCTCTTAGAGGCAGCCATAGGTGTAGTTGGAGTTGGTAGTACTGTGAATTTGGGGAAATATGCTGCGAGTGTGTTGTGTGAGAATGGCTGTGGGAATTGTCCTATTTATAGGAGAACTTAGAGGCCCAATAGCATTTGACAATTAAACTCAAGAACGAGGCCCAATTTTTTTTCAAAATTTTAAATGTATTGTATAGCTACACAATCTGCGAATAGCTTTTGCAATCCATTAATTGAATTTCTTCTTTTGTTTCTAATTCCCAACTACCTTAAAAGTGGTGTACTTTCGAACTTAAATAGGATGTATTGTCAAACTCAGATTCTTGCTTCTCGTGCATGCAATCTGAAGATCAACTTTTCATTAATTAAATATCTGTTTTTGGAATAACTACCAACCACCCTAAAGTACTATTCTGAATTGTGAACAATAATGGAAACAGAGGTCAATCGAAATTAATGGATGTTCGGGTGGTCTTGTGAGAAAGCTCAATGCATTTAATACAATCTGGCAATTTAGGTATGAATTATCAAAAGGCCTCCGACCTCAGAGATTTTTAGCCTTATTAATGAAATAATATGTCAACTGACACTCCATCTGTAACTTGGACCAGTGAACCCGACCCAACACTCAACCCGACCCTAACAGATAACCAACCCACAGGCTTCACCCAACAATTTGGGCGGGAAAATAGACAGGCTCTCCACCTCTTTTTATATAGAGGTAGATATTAAATCAGCGTTTTTTAGAAAAAATGAAATGGAAAATTGAAACACTCTGGTAAACATGTTTTCTGATTCGGAAAACAAAAAATTTGAAAACGAAAAACAGAAAACTGGAGACTTGAAAACAGAAAATGAAAACAGTAAACACGGCCTTACTTTTTTTTCTTATCGTAATCAAAATATTTACTCTTAAACAATATGTTAAACAAATATTAATGACATTTTTTCATTCTGATTTATAAACACTGTAGAAAAATTAGAAGCGCTGACGGTCGAATACGAGACGAACGGTGAGAGTCAGCTGAAGCGAAGATGGTGAGTAAAACGGAAGAGGACAGAGTGAACAGTTTGGAGGTTCAAGTGGACAATGGAGGCGGCGGCGCGTGGGAATATCTATCTCTTGTCCGGAAGCTCAAGCTCCGCCGATCCGACAAGGTCTTGAAGCACGGTCTCGCCCTCCTTAATGATGACAAAGCTCGATCTGCTCTTGGCACTGAAGGTATTCCTGCCTAAATTAAGTAGTGATTATGTCGAACACTCAGTCACAATCATGACATATTTTTATAAGTGAGATTGATTGCTGGATTGTTTGGACTGTAAACATTTAGTCGTGTTACATATATTCCGAGTGCAGTACGTTTACTATTTCAAGCTGGCTGACATTCAATTTTAAGTAACCTCCTGATAACACTAATAGATCACAAACCATTTTCAATAGCCTTGCATGAATGTGACAGATCTTTCCAATCTTACTTATTGAGCAATATATTATTGTCTCGGTATTGAATAAATCCACAGATCGAGGGTTGATGTTATGTACTTCGGGTTTGACTTAATTTTGAAGAAACACCACTGCTTTTAACAACTAAATGAGGAAAATACTGAAAAGTGAACAGAAATCTGAAAGTTTTTATTCTGGACCTGCTCCATTATTCTTCAACTTTTTTATTTTCCACAGAAATTCAATGTATCATGATCTAAACATGAACTGAAATCCCCCCTTGAACAAACATGAAAGTTTTCATGTATTGGATTAGGTAGGAGTCAAACCCAGGTCCAAAACATCATTAAACTTTATTCACAAACAAGTTTACCCTTAGTCTACTTTGAATCACATTAACAAGTCAAATATGTCAAACATTGAATACAAGGCGTCAAAAGTATTTAGGCTCACCGCCCACAGTTATTACGATTGTGAGGCACATACGTGCTCAAGCGCCTTGAGACATGAGACACATTATAGACACGCGCCTCTTGTACATGAGGCGACATCATACAATGATAGTAATACATTTCATATGAATATGAATATGCCAAACACATACAAAAGGGCACCCACGGCCAAAATAAAGCCTAAAGTAGTGATATAATGTCAACATCAATGTTGTTTATGAGCATATGAAACATTGCTATATGAAATAGTATTTTTTTTTAAAAAATTGAATTAGATCCCATAAAAGTTATCAAAAAGTAGCATGTTGTTGATTTAATACTTTGGTTTAATTAAAACACAAAAAGAAGAGCAAAAATATAAAAACTCCGTACTTGCAGAGAAAATATGTGGAAATAGAAGTTGAATAAATTCAATAGAAAAGTTGTAACTCGTAACTCATAAGTCCCTAGCTGAAAAAATAGAAAAGAAGTAGAAAGTAGAAAATATTAGAATGTTTTTGAGGTTGTATGTTATCACACATGTTGGTCATGTTCAGAATCACCCCTGCCAATTGTAGTATTGTTATATACGGAGTAACATCCAATAAGACTTGTAGTATTTACTTAGTGTGAAATTAGTTTCCCCTTGGTCCCGTGCTAGTATTTTACATGTTCTGTATTAGCTTCACTTCCCAAAAGCAATGGCTGTTATCCATGCTGTGTTGGTTTAGTTGTTGAAACTTCAGCTTGAATTGGTTTTCCCTTGATTCCAAATGATGCAGAATGGACATTATATGAGCAGGTGGCTATTGCTGCTATGGACTCCCAATGTCTTGATGTGGCAAAGGTAATATATTTTTCTTTTTCTAATACATGCATGAAACGTGACTGTTCGAACAATTGCATTATACGTTATAACCATGAATATGTTCAAGCATCATTAGCATGTTAGCAGAGTCATAGTCATCATACATTTTCTCATTTCTCAATAAATAACTATTAATTATGAACTGTTAATAATGGAAAACGTCAGAGGCTGTCTAGTGAATGGATTAGGCAAATGTACATGAGTAATTATTTCATATTAGTGTAGTATTTTGTTAACATCCTGAACTTCCTAGGCTCGGGACACTTGGGGCCTGTTTACTAACAGAGATATTTTCCTGTTTTCTACTTCTGTTTTTTGTTCTCCAATTTTCTGTTTTTATTTTTCAGTTTTTCTATCTCCAATTTTCTGTTTCTATTTTTTAGTTTTCCATTTTCAAATCTGAAAACATGTTCATCAATTTTTTCACCCAGTTCTCCAATTCCACACCCTTGACCCCTACTCTTACCACGATCTTACACTCTACCCATACTCCCCCACAACCCTTCATACCCACCCATACCTACTCGTAGGGGTCGGGGTAGGGAAGTTATGGGTGGGGGTGGGGTAAGGGGTATGGTCGGGGTGGGGTGGTAAGGTCTAGGGGTAGGGGGTTGGGTGGGGGTAGTTGGTGGGTTAGGGTCGTGGTTAGGGGTAAGGGTGGGGTAGTGGGTAGGGTTTGGGGTAAGGTAAAGGTAGGGTATGGAGTTGGGATAGGATGGCAGTAGAGTGGGGCCGGGACCAGGGTGAGGCTGAGGTAGGGAAGGGGTAGGGGGGTAGTGGGTAGGGTTGGGGTTGGGGTAAGGTAGGGGTAGTGGGATAGGATGGTGATAGGGTGGGCCCGGGATCTGGGTGGGGCCGAGATAGGGGAAGGGTAGCGGTGGGGGGTAGGATGGTGGTCGGATGGCGGAAGGGTGGGGATAGGATGGCGGTACGAGGGTGGGGGTAGGATGGCGGTGGGGTGGGGCCGAGGCAGGGGGCATGTGGTAAGAAGTAAAGGGTAATATACGGGTGGGGGTAGGGTAAGGTGGGTCAGGGTGGGGTTGAGGTGGTAGGGGGTGGCGGTAGGGTGGGCCCGGGATCTGGGTGGGGCCGAGGTAGGGGAAAAGTAGGGTGGGGGGTAGGATGGTGGTAGGATGACGGAAGGGTGGGGGTAGGATGGCGGTGGGGTGGGGCCGAGGTAGGGGCATGTGGTAAGGGGTAAGGGGTAATATACGAGTGGGGGTAGGGTAGGGTGGGTCAGGGTGGGGTCGAGGTGGTAGGGGTGGCGGTAGGGTAGGGTGGATCGGGATGGGGACGGGGTGGGGTAGGGTCATTATAGGGAAAAATGGGTATGCGGGGTTGGGTATGAGGAGGGTAGGGTAGGGTAGGGTAGGGTAGGGGTAAGGGGTAATGTACGATGATGGAGGTACCAGAATGGAATCGACATCGGAGCGGGACCGGACCCACCACTAGGTGTAAGTATGCAAATTCATTGCAGCGGCACTGTAGCATCTGCGTTTTCCAAATTTGGAAAACTAGTAAAAGTCACTTCTCCAAATCATTAAGGAAAAGAGAGACATGTCTCATTTTTTCCGTTTTGGAAAACGATTTGGTAAATGCGTTTTTCTTTTTTCCTTTCTCCAGTTTTCCAGGAATTTCTTTGGTAAACACGTTTCCTGTTTTCTATTTTCCAGTTTTCCAGTTTTCTGGAAAACTGGAAAATATCTCTGTTAGTAAACAGGCCCTTGATATTTCAAATCTTCCCAGTATATATAATACATTTGTGATTTTATTATTCCTTGGAATGTTTCCTTTTTATAAGAGAATTGTCCAATACAAGGCCCACTACTGGAAAAGCAAAGTATGTACTATGTAATCGTTAAGGCCCTAAATCCCAAAGGTCTGCAGCTTCTGGATATAAAGTTCTTATGAAAAACAAGTGAATTGCAATTTGCTATTGTGTCATTCATCCGAGGGGCATCAAGCTTGTCCAAAATTTTGAAGTGGGAAGTAATTAACACTTTAACAGTATTACAGTAGTCACCGATATGTAAGGTACACCCATGAATTAAAATATCTTCGATATCAATCGAAATTTCCGCGAAATATCCCTATTGCGGAGGCCCCAAATTTGATACGAAAATCCTTGAGACTAAATATCTTTTTATTTTTAGTATTGTTTTAACTTTTACTGACATTTATATAAGAAGTTGGAACAGGCTGCTTGCAGCCAAGAGGATTCCCCACACCATTGCCTGTCCACATGCCCTTTACACATCATAAACAGACTAATTCTTGCACTCTATCTAGTCACTAACCATAGTAATTCCAACATCAAAGTGGTGCAAAGAGTAATGTTAGTTTTGCTAGACCTTTCAGAATAAATGTAAAATTAAACCACTTCAGTAGTTTTGCATAAAAATGTTGATCTGCAAATTGAAGTTAGTGGTTTTGCTTTCTGTAGTTAGTTTATTTGTCTAACTTTATTGAAATTAACTGCAGTTTGTTTATGGGAACTTTGTTAGGAGAACATTAAAGTTTTGAAGAAAAAGTTTCCAGGAAGCAAACGAGTTGGTAAGTAGATGAGTGTCTAAATGTGCATGTGATAAAAATACACCTTCAGGTTCTTGCATCTATTTCCTCACAGTGTTGGTAAGTAGATGAGTGTCTTGATATGTTGTGGCATTTTCAGGCAGGTTAGAAGCAATGTTGCTTGAGGCCAGGGAATTATGGGAGGAGGCCGAAAAGGCTTACTCAAGCCTACTGGAGGAAAATCCATTTGATCAGGTAGAAACTGGGAACTTGGGAAGCATTATTTCTTAAACTATGCAATTTTCCTTTTAAACATGATGGGGTGTGCTCTAACTTCTATCGTGTTTAGAAAAGGAGGATAAGTTTTTTATTAGCCTGAAAGCGTGCTTACAGTAGTTGCACCCTTTTTAGATTTTTTTTTTTGATATAGCTGTGTTCTTGTTCCTATAAGAATTCCTTGATCTGTATAACTATGGCTGGGTTCGGTTTGGGTCCCAAACCGATTGGAGTGAACCGACATTTCAGTTATCCAAAAATCACAACCATAACCGAACCGTTCATAGAACAGGTACTGAGTTATCGGTAACCATTTTTTCGGGTTGGTTACCCAAAACCACAACAAACCGATTTCTATAAAAACAATAAATCACTGAACTAATTTTCAACACACACATCGCCACTACAAGTTTGAGCTCAGAATGTAATGCCAAGCCCACTCAATGAGAATGGTAGGTATCCTACACGGTTAGAAGGTTGTTAGAAGATCCAGTTTATATAGAAGTTTTTGGAGGAGGAATCTTTCTCTTTTTAGTTTTTACGGTGTGGGATACAGTGGTGTTGGAAAGAAAACTGAAAATTTAATTAAAATATCACACCACGCTGGGAATTGATCCCGCGGCGTCCAAGACTCCAAACCATTGGATTCACTGGATGACCAACTTTCCAATGCGCTAAGTTTGTTCAAAATGATCTCGAGCAGGTATTATAGATTTATTGCTTAGTAAACGTCATTACTTGTTAACTGTGATTACTATTATTATTGTTATTAAGCATTATCATTAACGTAAAATTGTCGCTTCGGTACAGACTTATGTTTTGGGTTTATAAACCAAATTTAAACCGTTTTTACAGGTCCCAATTTTCGGGTCCCAAATTCTATCGGTTTGGTTTTTTCTCAAAGCGGTTCAGTTTTTACAGTTCGGTTTTCGGTTTCCCGGTCCAAGTGCCAGCCCTGCATAGAACATTGAGATTGATCCGTGGAACTTGCTGTTTGCAATAAGCTATGTGCCTACATGGCTGCTATATTTCAACACAACAAAACAAGACCCTAGGCTTTTCTTGCATTTGTTCCTCATCAGTCCCAGAAGTTGATTTTCTTTTGCGTTTTCCCTATTAAGTGGAATAATTGGTGCTCTAAGCTAGAGCCTTGTTTAATCTGGTCCCTGACATCTATTTACTACCTGCTGCTGCTGCACTACAATATTGCTAGCATATTAAAAAAATATTGCTAGCATATTTCAGCTAAAGTTCGTATTTCTCCGCATGCTTTCTTGCAATCACTTAAATATTTTCGTACAGGTCATACAAAAGAGGAGGGTAGCCATGGCAAAGGCAGAAGGCAATATGTCAGGAGCAATTGAATTGCTAAATAAGTATCTCGAAATGTGAGGAAGATCTCAAAAGCATCCACCATTAATTATTCTACTGATAAATCATTCCTTCCCTTGTTGTTTTTCTTATTATTTTTATTATAAATATTTATTATTATAATTATTATTTATTGGCTAGATTCATGGCAGATCACGATGCTTGGAGGGAACTTGCGGAAATGTATGTCTCCCTACAAATGTAAGAATTTTTTATATTATATCTTACTGTGTGATAATCACATTTTCTTCTGCTTTAGAAGGCCCCCACAAATGTCCTTGGTTGATGGCAAAATTTCTCATGTTTTTTTGGTGATAGGTATAAGCAGGCGGCTTTCTGCTATGAGGAGCTCCTCTTATCTCAACCAACAGTTCCTCTTTATCACTTGGCTTATGCTGATGTATGTGACATGTCATTGTTGCATATTTCTGTAGTCATCCCGGTTTGCATAAAATTCTCTAATTTTATGCATGCACATTCAAGTATACACTTTGTGGTTGCACCATAGACAACCCATTTGCTCATTAAAATGACTTACATGTGTGAAGGGTTCTTCTACACACCATGTATCCCACGTCTTTGAAGTTATGGTTTTATTTAAAATTGTCAATGTTTTATTTCCATAACACATCAACAATGGCTAATTTGTTGGTGGGTTTGAGGAATGTGTCAACAAGCCTTTGACTTTTTTCCCAATCGTATTTGTGTTTTTTACTAATTTTATCTTTTAGGTAAAAACCATCACTTGTTTTTTCTCACTTTGGCCCTTAGCATCAGCATTGGAGCATGATTACAGCAGTTATCGCAAAGCATCTTATAATATATTAATATCCATGGAAGTGAAAGGAAAAATGTATAGTGATGATAGTGTTGGAAATTCAAATTCATTATTCCTTCGTAAGAAGGTTGCAACTTGAAAAGCATCTGGCATAGCCGGAAACTCTGCCACTGTCCTTTGTTTGCACGAGTTAATAGTGTTTACTAATTTTAGGCAATTAATTAATTGTCACATGATTTTCGTGCTACCGACCCCAACATAGTTGGGAGTAAGGTAATGATGATGATGAATATCAAAATTGGTAGTCAGCTTTATCTTTAGGACGTGAGATGTTTCAACTGCTAGTTTTGCTAATACACTGAAGCATATACTCCGTGTTTATGAGAAAAGACGTGAGATTGATCAGAAATACTCTCATCGCATGATATCTAGACCTGCATGTTGAGAGATTTTAAAAAACTTTTACTCCGTATTTGTTATCATTATATTGCTTTATTTAAAACGTTAACCATGTACTGAGTTGTGTTCACCTTATCTGGCACCAGGTGCTCTATACATTAGGTGGACTTGACAATATCCAGACGGCCAAGAAATATTACGCAACTACCATAGACTTAACAGGTGGAAAGAATACCAGAGCCCTTTTTGGTATATGCTTGGTGAGTTTCTCTCTCTTTCTGTGCTTCGGAGGCGCTGGCGGCTGTGATGCCATTAATGATGTTTTCATGCTCTATCCATTGATTAACATCGCAGGCTTTGCATAACTACTTGGAACCAGTAAAATTACTAAAATATAAAAAGTGTTGTAATGATGAAATTCTACTAATCATATTATGTTTATATTCCACACCACAGCGGACAGTGAACTAACAGATTATTATGACATTACAGTGTACATCTGCCATAGGGCATCTGACTAAAGGACGGAGGCAGGAGGACAAAGACAAATCAGAGCTGCAATCTTTGTCCTTTAGGGCCCTGGAGAAAGATTACAATGAGAAAGCTTCTGATAAACTTTCTCTTCTTGCTTCAACTTTGAGAAGTTTGAAGATTTGATCATTTTTTTTTGCATTTTTTAAAGCTTGTGTCTTTCAGATGGTTTATGCCCCTCATCAGTTGCCTTAAATATTGAAAGCTGACCATGTGTGCTGTCAGGTTTAATCACTTAGATGTTTCTCTTTTGTTGTCAACGTGGGATTTAACAGAAGATGTTTCATAAAGCTGTACTAGAAGGGAAAACAAGGAAAATAGTTTATCAGAGAATTTGGCTGTTTCACTTCAGTCTCTTTACCGGCTTTATGACCATTGCTTGTACAAGTGCAAGAGCTTGTAAACACCATCTTTATTGAAGAACCGTTTTGATCCGTACCAAAATTGATAGAACTGAAAAAATATAATACCATACATGATTAAACGGATTTTCTTACGTAGTATATTGTATGTAGTTATGTACATCATTGATTCTTCTCTACAAAGGTCAAAGCCTCAAAGGTGGTGTTTGCGATTTGTAATATATAGCAAATTATATCATAGCATATACAACATGTAGCTGAACATTAATTACTAGAGTAATGTTGATATTGTCCACATGGACCACATTCACTTAGTTCGTCACAAGTAATAATTGTATCGAATCTTATGAACTATAACTCCGTTGATTGTGATGAATAATTTTACTTTAAAATTGTCCCAGTTTGTTATTGACCATTATAATCTTATGGTTGTTAATGATAATTATGACTGATCGAGGAGACCTACTACAAGTCTACGATCAAGTTGAAGAGATTTGTTGATATATCCGTTATGCCCATTGTCAATGGTCGTTCACTCAGTTTTTTTAGGTGCTTTTGGTCGATTTCGAGGAGATTGAAGTGTTAAAAACTAAAAGATTATGAAATCTAAAGGAAGTGTCTTTGAGACTTTGAGTACGAGAGCAGACAAGACATAGCTGAGTCAATATAAATCACATGGTGTCTATTCTCTTAGTCTCTTTCTTTTTATGCTATTCTTTGTGCGTGAAATAAATGAAAACTCTCAAATCATGTTCATAGGCTTCTAAGATCTAGCTTCATCAAATGTAAAAAAATATAAGGTGAAGTTTTTTTTTCTAGCCTCGAATAAGATAAAGCCACATGCTTACCTTTTTATTGCTGTTTAGTTATTTATTATGCCGCATATTTTCTTAAGACATAATCATTTTGCAATATTTAGTAGGGGTATAAAAATGTAGGGGGGAGATTAAAAATATGAAAGAGAAGATTTTAAAAACAGATCGAAAAGTAATGATAATCACAATTTTTAAAATGAAAAACCACTGTGATTTACAATAAAATGTACTACCTCTGTCCCGCTAAGTTTGGGATAAGAGGTGGTGGCACAGTTATTAATAAAAGTGAGTTTATATGGTTGATATTGAATTGATAAAGTAAGAATAAAGTGTGAATGATTTAGAATCACACAAATTTTACCAAATAAGGTATGAGACAATCTTAGTAGGACGGATCGAAATGATAAAATGGGACAATCATAGCGGGACAGAGGGAGTAGTTTTTTTTTAAATTTATAATGAATATTATAAATGTTACAAAGTACAAACATATAAAGAAGGAAGGAGTGATATATGACTATAATGAAAGTGCCAATGCCACATATGCCTTTGTAGACTATTTTTATTTGTTTTCCTTTTTTTTAATATACCAAATATTTGTCTTTATTTTAATAGTAATACGTGAGTCATATCATTTCATCCAATTTATATTAAAAAAACCCTCCTCATTTACTTTTTAACCACTTTATTAATATAATAATGTCAAATCAAGTAAAACAAATAATATGAGGCAATGAAGACATATTTTTGTTAAATGTAACTTTTCTTTTCAGCTTTCCAAAAATGAGAGTGTTCTATGATTTGAAAATCTACAAACTTTTGATTCTTTTGGAGCTCGTTTGGTAACACTAAAATCGACTGTATTTGCTGATTTTGCTGAAATTTATGAAGTTCTGGCTGAAGTGGTTGTATTGGCTGTTTCTGCTGATGCATGAAAAAATTATATTTAAAATATTTGTTATTAATAAATAAAATAAAAAAATTATAAGGAAAATGGTCAAATAGGGTCTTGAACTTACATAAAAAGGTCAAATAAGGCCTTATATAGGACACTCTGTCCGGCCGACGCCATTTGGGGCGGTTCCTGGTGGATTTTTTTTATGAATTTTTTTGAGCATATTGTTCATTACGTCTAGTTTACTCATACCGAATTTGAATAAAAAATTCAATTGGGAAGACATTCAAATGAATTCTTGAAGATAATTGCACAGTTAAAAGCACAGTTATCTTCAAAAATTTATTTGAATGCCTTCCCGATTGAAGTTTTATCTGAAATTTGGCATGAGTAAACTAAACTTAATGAATAAGATGCTCAAAAAATTTCATCAAAAAATTCCTCCGGGAACCGCCCCAAATGGCGACGGCCGGACAGAACCTTCTATATATAAGGCCTTATTTGACCTTTTTATATAAGTTCGAGGCCCTATTTAACCATTTTCCCAAAATTGTATGAAAAAATAGCTAAAATGATCCTCTACAGTAACTTCAAACAATACAGCCAGAAAGGTCACTTGAACCTTTTTTTGTTGTTGCTAATTACACAATTCAGCGCGCGAAATCAAAAGTTACGTATTTGGTGAAAAAACTGGCTGATAAGCTTGATAAGCCGAAAAAGGGGTTCTTCTTTTATCATTTCAATCTTTAAAGGATTGTCATGTCAATTCTTTAATCTTATACTCTGTAATTTGTATTGTATTGGAGATTGAAATGATAAAAATATTTTGCGTCTCGGCTGCCCGAAGAAAAAATTCTGTTATACTTCGTATATGCATGTATATAAATATTTACGTGTTGACCCTCATAACCTCATATATTCATGGTTCAGCCACTGCTCCATGCCTTAATTTTTTATGGAATCACATTCTTGTTGTACACACTTTTATACTCACCTTATACCCACCATGTATGTGAAGAGTTTTTTGAATGTAAATCCGATTCACAGAGAAAAATAATTTGCACAAACATCTTTTGTCTATGAACGGGATTCACAGACAAAAATAAACCTTAAACAAACATGGTGGACACAAAAGTGGATATAAGGGTGAGTAAAAACAGTTTTTTTATGGTGACAACTCCGGTACCCATTTAAATTTAAAAATGGGGTACCGCCGTACCGTAGCTAGCATTCACTTGATTGGTCCACATCATTATATCAGTTTTAATTTCAATTTAAATAATTCAACTGCAACATTCTCATTGGTCCATGTGTACAAAGGTATGGTAGGGATAACATAAAATCTACTTTTTTTATATGGAGTAAGTAGTTATATACTCGTGGGCCCCTCCAGCTCATCCAATTGCTAAAGGTCAGGTGCCACTTCTGCCTATCATCCTTTCCATTCCCAGTTTCATAGGCTTATCCTTCAACACTTGCGTCTCTCCTGGCCGTCGATTCACCAACAACGTACGGCTCTACGGTCGTCGTTCTCTAATCATTCGTTTCCGTTGATTCAGCTATGTCCGTTCCTTTATCATAACGTGACCAGGAAGACAGATGGAGCTGCAAATCAAGGTGGCGCAGGCCGTTCACGTGCTTAATCACGACACCCAATCTACCAACCGCGTAGCTGCTAATCAGTGGCTCGTCCAGTTCCAGCAAACTGATGCCGCCTGGGAAGTCGCCACCGCCATCCTCGCCTCCGAACACCGTCACCAGCTCGTCTCTGATTTCGAAGTCGAGTTTTTCGCAGCTCAAGTTCTGAAACGGAAGGTGTGTCAAATACCCGTTCGATACTCAATCTGTAGTTCACTTCTTCGCATTTGTGTGAACAATTTGAAGAACTCATATTGCAAAAGTGTTACAGACATTGTACTCCTTCTGAAGAGTCGTGAAGATTAAAAACATGGCAAATGAGCTGTTTGAGTGGTTATTGAAGGGGCTATTTTTGATGTCCTCACCGTTAAGTCTAGAAGGGCTTTGTTCCTCTGTTCGTTTGGTTAACACTTGGAGTGCTTAGTGTGAATACTCAAATGTCATATATACGTCATTATTTCGTAAATAATGGGGAAGTGTATTTAGTTCCTTCTCCATCTCCAAGGAGCAACATTTTCTGCTCATGTCCCGCTAGTTTATCCTTCTCCTCAGTATATTAATGATCACCGCACTTTTCTATCACCTGATTTTGGCAGTTGTTTCCCTTTTTATTTTAAAGTTTGGGAATGTGAGTACGGTAAAATGCCAATGCGTCAACTTTTCTTTACTTGTTTAAAAACTCTTTTCCGGGGCATGGGTACGTCATGTCACAACTGGAATCACATACGGAGTATTAGTTATTTTTCTCCATCTTTCTAATTCTTTCTTTTACTTTTCTTTTTCTTTTTCTTTCCTTTTAAGATAAAAGCACATTATGTATGTCAGTATGTGTCTTTGTAACAAGCCTGGTGTTGTTTCTTGACCATACAGATCCAAAATGAAGGATGCCACCTGCAGTTGGGTGCCAAAGATGCGCTGCTTAATGCTCTTCTATTGGCAGCAAGAAGATACAGTTCAGGACCTCCTCAGGTAATCCACTGTTTGGTATACAATAGTACAATACTCCTCCATCCCAGAGAGTAGTTCTGTTATGCCAAGTTAAATTTTTTAATTATTGTGCGACACAACTGTCAAAAATATTGATATCACATTTAATTTTTAAAATTTAATTGTCAGTTTAATTAAATGTTTGGTTGCGAACTTTATTGACAATTTATTGGAAATTACATGAAGAGTAAGCTTCTTTTAATGAAGTATGACCTGTTTTTGCTCCATTGAACATGACTCATTTTTGGACAGGAGTAATAATGTGTAATTAGTGTATATATATATATCATCCAAGATCATGTATTAGTATTTTCCTAAGACTGTTTCATCTTAAAGCAGCTCTTGACACAAATTTGTCTTGCTCTCTCTATGCTCATAATACGTGCTGCGGAACATGGAAAACCTATTGAAAAGCTCTTTCACAGTCTCTACAATTTGCAAAGTGAAGATGATGGCAAGATCGCTGCTTTGGAGATGCTTACTGTCTTGCCAGAAGTTATTGAAGATCAGAATGCTGATTGTAGAATAAGTTCAGTCCAACGATTCGAGTATGGCCTAGAGGTTTAAAAATTTCTTATTTAAATGTTTGTCATATTTGCTTGTAGTCATATCTTTAACCATTAGTGCATCCCTTTTCTAACTTGAAGATGCTTTGTCAAGTTCAGCTTCTCTCTCACACTTCAATGGTTTTCAAGTTCCTTCTGGAGCAAAGCAAGAAAAATATTGACTGTGGCGCTCAAAACCACCACAGAAACAAAAAGCTACTGCGCTGCTTGCTAAGTTGGGTAAGATATATTGTCAAGTGCGCTACTATGATACTATTCCATCCGTCCCAAAACAATTTTCCTCTTTCCATTTCAGGTATGGAAGGATGAATAAAGTGATTAACTTACCCTTACTTTTACCCCTTCTCTATTTACATAAATGCCTCTCTACTTCAAGGAGAAATGGCAAAAATGCAAAATAGTAAAGACAAACTTAATTCATTACCTTTCTTAATTTTTGTGCCAGTCTAGTTTTTGCAAATCAAATTGGGAGAGAGTATATTTTATCATTACAACAATG